GCCTCCCCCGGCGCCTCCCCCGGCCCGCAGCCCCGAGCCCGCCCGGTCCGGAGCGCGGCGGCGGCGCGGCCATGGGCTCCCGGCTGAGCCGGCAGAGCAGCCTGGAGGAGGAGGGCGGCGAGGAGCCCTGCCCCGGCAGGCTGGAGGGCGGCCGGGGCGACTTCCACCTCTCCTCGCTGCTCCTGCACCCGCAGAAGCTGCCCGGGGTGCTGCGGAAAGCCTCGCCCGCGCCCTACGTGCGGCGGGTGGGGTGGCTGCGGGAGATCCAGGCCACCATCCGCGAGCACAAGCGGGAGCACGCCGTGCACATCCTCCGGCTGCTCAGGAAGGTACCTGCCGCGGGATGCGGGGTGCGGGATGCGGGGTGCGGGATGCGGGATGCGGGGCAGGGACAAAGGGCCGTGCGGAGCCGGGGCTGCAGCCCCCCGGAGCTCTGGCGCAGGGGCCGCGCTGCGGGATGAGGAGCCCCCTCCCCGGCGCTGGGGTGTGCAGCCCTCCCTGGCGGGGCTCTTTGTGCTGCCTCTCCCCGCTCCGTGCCCCGGTCCGTCGGCCGCTCGGTGCCCACCGTGCCAGGTGACAGAAGGCACCTCCCCGACCCCCAGCCGGGGCACAGAGAGGGGCTGGGAGGGAGCTGCCAGGGGGACTGTGCTGCACACGGGAGAAGGGGGGTCCGGGCTCGGGCTGTGCTCACCCACACCCCTCCATGCCAGCCCGCGGGTGTGCTCAGGATTGATGCCCCCACTGCCACCACATCCCATTACGGCCACTCAGCCAGACTGGCTGAGATATGTCTGGGAAACCCCAAAATGGCTTTGGAGGGCACCTCTGGGACAGTCGAGGCCGAGAGGAGAGGTAAAGGGGTCAGTGTATCAGTGGGAGCATGTTTCAGTCTGCCGCCATTCAGGAACAGAAAAGCCAGTGTGCAGACAGTGTGGTGCCAAACTGATGCTGAGGACAGAGCCCTGCTGCTGGAACAGAGCCATCTCCTCCATCACTCACTGCTACCATCACTTTCCAGCCAAACTCAGCTGCCCCAAACTGCAGGCAACTCTGTGACTGGTAGCACAGGGGACAAAGCCCACCTCTGATGTGGACACCAAACACCATCAGTTTGTAGCTTGTCATGTTGCTTCATTAGATAATGATCATCTAACTTCATCTTGGGAATGTACATTATTTCTTGCCTTAGTGGCAAGTGGCCTTTGGGTGTGAGTGGCTCACTGGATGCTTGTTCACCCACACCACCAGCTGCAGGGAGCTGCATGAACAGCCCTGTCTGCTCTGCATGTCCAGGGTTTTACAACACATCTGACAGTGGTGCTCACTGCCCTGGGCTACCAGCAAGCTACACACTCACAGGTAAGAATTCACAGGATGAAAAATTACATCTCTGCTTTTCCTGTCCACTACTTTAGCATTCACTTGAAGATTGTTACCAGCGCCACACTCTTGCTGCCACATGTGCAGACAGATAAACTCACAGCAAACCTCTGTGTGTGCACCAGTATGGCAGACAAGGGCTGAATAAGATTTGGAAGGCAGTTTTGGAGAGGCACTATTGCAAGAAGCTTGTGAAGAAAGAGAGGTGACCATTCACTTCATGGATGTGGCAATGTAACATGAACAAGCTTTACTAGGGTATGCCAGAGGCCAGAACCACAGAATGTCATTTTCTGTAGTGCTCAGCACCTCTCCTGGAGATGGAAGCACTGAAACCTTCCACAGACCCCGGAGGTCTCCAGAAGGTCCATCTGTGAACAGGCAGGGTTTGAGTGCTAAGTTCCAGGGCCATATGGAATTGAGGGTCATTTCTAAGCTCCTTTCAGGATCAGTTAAACACTTGGCTTCCCCACATCTGTGCTTGAGAATTACCATGTCACGAACATTCACATTTTGCCTGCTGCCTTTCCAGTTTCCCGTGTTATTCCTGGTCCCCAATTCTGCCTGGCCATGTTGAAACAGTGACTGTCTGCCCATCTGCTCACAACAGAACAGTGGGACATGCATCCTGTAATCACAACATCTTCTACCAAGCAAGATGGGAACCCATCCAGCAACACCCCAAAGCCTCTGGTTCACTGAGCACTCAGAGGTTTCAGAGGCAGAGGCTTTACACCACTAAGGTGTCACTGAGTCTGGGGTCATGTAATCACCACCAGTCCTCCTCACGTGTCCAATGTCAGCTTCAGGTCAGCCTTTTTTCCTAACTCACAGATTTTCCTCACTCCACAGCTACGTTCACCCCTTAGCTTGGTCCCCAGCGTGTCCCTCCTTACCTTGGCAGTGTCACGCTCTCGGGAGCCACGGATTAATGTGTCCCAGGTGAGGGTCTGTTTGTTACCTGGAAAAAGAGAGATACCTTGTTCACTCTAGTGGACAGGGAGGATGTTTAACACCACACCTCGTCACTGTGCCTTGGGCCAGGGTGCAAACACCCCGGGGGAGGCAGAGAAATGGTGGGAGTGGAACTGCAGCCTGCTCAGGTGAGCAGAGAGCTCAGCCAGACCAGAGGACACGGGGTCCCCTGTGTGCCTCCTGCTGCTCCCAGCACACCCCCCTTGCCCAGCCCTGCAGGTGGACCCTGCTGATGGATCTGCCAGTGGCTTTTCACCTGTGGGCTGCAGACTTCAAAAGGCTGCAGACTGTTCCTAGGATGTTCAGAGGGTGTGATGATGTAAAGCAAGCAAGGCAGGCAGAAGCAGATCCACTAACAGAGATGTGAGATCCCAGCATTTCAGAGGACTGCGTGGAGAACAGCTGCAAACTGCAGGTGCATGTGTGCTTTGTACATGAACACTTGGACAGCTCCACTGCACACCATCTACCCCAGAATGCCCACCAGCAGAAGCCACATCAGCTTTGCTGCTCATCTAGGTGGGCATCACTCAGCTGAAGCCCAGGGAGACGTTAGACTTACACCAGCAAAAAGTCTGGTATAATCTGTTTTCCCTGTGCTGAGATGATGGCAAAGTGTCATTTTTAAGACAACAGCACTAAGCCAGCTGAACTGGCAAGAGTTATGATATTCTGCTGTCTGCAGCCACCTTTTAGGTGGTACAAAATTTTCCAAGAAATGAGAGAGAGAGGGAGGGAGAGAGGGAAATAAGTAAGATGAGCTGAAAAATGCCTCCAGGCTAAGAATTTATGGAATATCAATGTGAAGTGAACATTTACAGCTATATTACTTACAAAACCCTCGCAGGCAAGATTTATAATGGGAATGCAGATTCATCTTAATGCTATAGTTCCAACTGGGGGAGTTTAATTACTGCTCTGACATCCAGTGCTGCGTGCCCAGCCATGCCATCCTCACGGCAGCTTTCTTCATCTGTGCACATTACACTTGGTGTGGGAGGCTCCATTTCCCTGAAGCCTTATGGTTAAGGGAGACACTGGCATGCTGCCTTGGTAGGCTCCTGGCCCATATCCAGCTGTGGCTGTCTGTCCTTCAGGACTGTTCCATTGCTTGGGTTCCTTAAGGGTGTCATTTGTGTACACAGAGTGATGGGGCTGTAAAGTATTTAATTTATTCTCCCTTCCTGTGTCTCTAGCCAGGGTCTCTGTGGGGTTGTGCTTTCTGCTCAATCCAGCATATCCAGAGCAGGATGCAGCACAGGCTTTGATTGGTGCTTGGAGTTAAGATCCCAAAACTCTGCCAGCTATGGCTCTGCCCCTGTTGGTGATGGATGTGCATACATCCAGCTTTTTTCCCCCCTCTCACTCCATTTTTTTTTAGCTCTCAGTCACTGGGTGGTGCCTGAAACACACACTCAGTAGAGCAGTGTGAACATATGGGGCACCCATTTGCTTATTCATTTCTCCTGTCAGCTGCATACAGAATGGGGGGAAAACTTGTTCCCTCCCTTAGCTGAGCCCTCCTTATCCACTGAATCAATCCCAGCACCATCCCTACTAGGGAGCTTTTCTGTTCTACATTTCTACACCTAGGGTATTTTTTTTGCCCATGTGGCACTTTCATGTGAATATGTGATCTCTCTTTCCCACATTTTTTAAAAATTGTGTTTGTTTTTCACAGCTCTGGGGTACCTTCTGATTATAACAACTGTGTCAATAATTAGCTCTTTGCTTTCCTCTTAGCAAGAAACAGCTTTGTTCTTTGCAGTATTATCCAGCCCCAGGAAGGCTTTTTGTTCCCAAACATGCTGAGGTTTCCTCCAAAGGTTCCCCGTCCCTGATCCACACAGATAAGTTGCATGGACCACAGTTGTTCCCCTAACTCACACTGTGGAAGATGCAAGAGGAGCTCCTCTGACTGTGGTGTAAAGCCACCTCTAAATTTACCATTGCACCTCATCCTGAGAAATTCACAGCACAGCTAAACTCACACAGGTGGGCAGGACTTCTGCTCAGCCAGCCACCACCAGGGCATATGGCAGCTTCTAAATACCTGAGAAAGGTCTGATTCTTCCAGAAAAGCTGAGATTGGAGAAGCAGCTTTAGAGCCAGCCTTCCTGCTTGGCTTCTTCAGCAGATTCACACATAGAGCTGACAAAACTGTGTTTCTCTGAAGTTAATTCTCTCCAGGCTCCAGCCAGCATGGAAATGATAGAATTCTCACCTTCCTGTGGTAGGTGGAAATAAGGTGGACTAGCTCAAATTAGCACTGCATCTCATTCAGCTCTCTGGCTGCCTGCACCCCCCAGCACAGTAATGCTGGTCAGACACGCCTGCTTCACCTCTGCTGGATAATTTCCTGTGCTGGGCATCCAGCTGGCACCACATCAGATTTACTTTCTGCTTTCAGAACATCCCATGGATATAGCTGTGAGGAAGCCTGTGTGCCTGACTGTCTGTCTTTGTTGTAGGACCTAGGACTGGAAGGAACATTTCTCAATGAAGTGCTCTACAAAAATGCAACTTTCCTCAACTTGGTGGATCCCATCTCCCATGACCTGCTGATGAGCCTTGCCAGAGATCTGCAGTGTCCCAAAAAGGTGAATTCTCCCTCAGCTCAGTGAATGCTTTGGCACAGCACAAAGCAGAGAGCCCTACTGGGGCAGCTGGTGCTGCAATCAATCCTCCAGAGCCAGGCAGTGTGCCCTGGCAGTGGCAGCATATGGATTGTGGGGCATATTCCTGTAGAAATCAGTTAAAGCTACCTCAGAATGTGAATGCAGCTGAAGGAGGGGATGGCTGTGTGCACAGATATTAGAAAATAACTTTTTGTGTCCACAGGGCAGAGAGACAATCACTGGTATCAGGGGTTCAAAGCAATTAGAGCTCATGGGGGGCTCATGGAGAGCAGAGATCTCTACAGGAAAACCACCTCTCTCTTCCTGGGCCCTTTGCCATATGCAACTACCTCAACCCAGCATTATTTCCCCCAAAAAACTCTCAGAGTTCCCCATAGAGAATGGTGCTGCAGGAATATATTGCCACTGGGGGTTCAGGAAATGAATGTGTTGTGTGCACAGTATCCCTGCATGCTCCATCACTTTGCTTCAGAGGATGAGGAGAGCAGAGATGGAAAGGCAGGGCTGAGAACAGACAAACATCACTGGTGTCCCAGTCCCACTGCCACAACCAGCATTGATTTCTGTTACCCTTTGCCACCACAGACACTTGGATTTGCAATGTTGCTCATTAGGCTTGGCAAGTGTCATGTTTGCTTTGTAAGGAGAGGAATAGAGTGAATTTCTTTATTCAAAGAGAGATATTAAGAACACACAGCTCAGAGCAAGCAGCAGTGCCCCAGGGAATACACCAAATGCCTGGTGTAGATTAGTGGCATTTCTAACCTTGTTCTGCCATCTCCTGAGGCTCACTGATAACAATTAACCAGTCATGTCTCAACAGACAAACCACATTTAGCCAGAGTTTAATCATCATTATTAGGCTGCAGCGCAGCCTGAAAAAAACCAAACCTTTCCAAGTGTAATGTCTGTGTAATTCATGTAAGCATTTGAAGGAAGGGCTGGGTTGCAGCAGTAGCATCTCTTTAACCACACTTCACTTGACCTCATCTCCAGCTGTTCTACCAGACCTTCTCCAAGGCCGTGCTGTGCAGTGCCCCTCAGGGCAGGCAGCAGGAGGGGATCTCGCTCTAATCCAGTACCCATGTGTTTGGCAGATAACACATTGCCATTTCTATACACCTGCTTATCCCCTCACTCCAGTTTCATGCCTTATGGATGCACTGACACACGTACCATTACATAAGAAATTGTTTTCCCCGTTCCTAGGGAAGATGCTGAGCACCTGAGTTGCCCTTCAAGGCCAGCAGAGGTTTAATTAAATGCTTGTAGAAATTCAATACCTACAGCACCAGCACCCTTCCCAGAACAATGCCAGCCCACGTCCCCTCTCCGACCCTGGCTGAGCATCTGGTGGGTGTAACTGCATTACAGGCAAGCAGGCTGAGTGCAATTCCCAGTCTGTCAGTGGAAATTAAATCAGGGAGCACACAGGAAAGAACAGGAGGGTAACTCAGCTGTGAGCCAACAATCCCTCGCAGGGCTTCGTGCCAGCTCTGTGCTGGAGCCTGCTGTGCACGTGCACCCACTTGGAGAGGTTTGCTGTTGTAGGTGACAGCAGAGTGCCAGCTGCAGCCCTGCCAGCACAGCAGGAGTCTAGAACAAGGCACCTAAGCCAAAGGCATGGGCCAGTCCCTGTGGGGTTCCTAGGGAGGCTGGGATGGGGATCAGGGGATGCTCAGCTGAGCAGAAGGCTGGGATCCCTCTCCCCGTGGCACAGGAGGATTGCCACAGGCTGGCAGTGCATCCCTGGGGAGTTCAGCTGGTTCAGGGACTGCTGAGCAAAGTCACAGAGCAGCTGTTGGCCCCCAGTGCAGTGCTTTAGCTGCTCACAGTAAGGGATAAATCAGTGCATTCCCTGACAGCTTTACTGGGTGTTCACCTATCAAATCCCTAAATGCAACGCGGCCCCATGGCTGGAGGGCTGAGGGGTGGGAATGCAGGTGTCTGTCAGCAACTGGAAAATACAATAGAGAAGGCAGAAGTCCCAGCCTTCAGCAGCTGCCATTTGCCATTCTGCTTCAGCCGAGGAAGAGGTTCTGTTCCAAGTCATGGCACTAAAGAACATGTGCAAAAATAACCCAGGAAGGCAGCAACCATGTGGGTGCCTTCTTTTCCTGACAAGTTAGTGCAGGGGCAGGAGGGAACTGCTGGCATTGCAAGCCCCCAAACTCAAACCTCCAGTAGCAGAGTGGACTGCAAGGAAGTAAGATGGACTATGGACTAAGTTCCCTGTCCTGACATCTCCCAGCTAGAACACAGGAGGTTGTGGAGTCAGTGTGTCGCTGCAGGAGGAGCAAGAAGCACCTTGGGGATGGGGCAAGGGTGCCACTTACTGCCCTTTCCACATCAGGGTGTCAGATAGTCCAGAGACAGAGTCTGGGGAAGCAGGGCAGCAAGGTAATTAATAGAAATGTAGCACAGTCCTGTAACACAAGGAGTTGGCAGCATAGGGGTCCCTGCAACAGAGCAGTGTCAGTCGCCACTGCCACGGCCCTGGAAAAGGATCTCCTCTTCTGAGTTTCACTTGTTCCTGGGTAGGCTGTGAAATTGCCTGGAGCTGCCATTTGCCATTCTGCTTCAGCAGAGGAAGAGGTTCTGTTCCAAGTCATGGCACTAAAGAACATGTGCAAAAATAACCCAGGAAGGCAGCAACCATGTGGGTGCCTTCTTTTCCTGACAAGTTAGTGCAGGGGCAGGAGGGAACTGCTGGCATTGCAAGCCTCCAAACTCAAGCCTCCAGTAGCAGAGTGGACTGCCAGGAAGTAAGATGGACTATGGGGAAGTAGCCAAAGTTCCCTGTCCTGACGTCTCCCAGCACAGGAGGTTGTGGAGTCAGTGTGTCACTGCAGGAGGAGCAAGAAGCACCTTGGGGATGGGTCCAGTGAGCACCCCACACAGAGGGGTCAGGCCCCAGGTATTGGCCAGGTACAGAAAAAGCAGGGAGAGGGCAACAAGGCAATGTGCAATAGGTCTAAAATGGGCTGGCCTGCCTGGCTACCACACCCAGTTACAGTGTGTTACGTAAGGCACAAATTAATTTTGATGAAATATTTAACAGCAGTGCTTTCTCTTTTAAGTGTGGAGATGAAATGGTTTGCAGTTTGCAGCAAAAGATGCCTGCAGAGTTGGCATCTGAGGCCGCTGCAAGAAAATGGGTGTTGCCAGTAGCAGGAAGGCAAGAAATAGCTGCTTCATTTGGAGATACCAAGGCATCAGTTTGTTTAGGCAGGCTGTTTTTGTCATGATCCAAATTCTGCACCTCCCTCTGTCTGCTAGTGGGAGAATTTTACTATAGTGTCTGCCTTAAACCCTGTGCCCTTGGCTTGCACCCTTCCTGCTCTTTAGCTCCTGCAAAGAGCAGCAATACTTTGAAGGAATTTCTAAAATCTAGTGGGGGTTAAGGACAGCAGGGAGGAATCTGTGCATGAGACCACATTCAGAAACCAAATTCTCCTCTTGCTTTTGCAGCCTCCTGGGCTTTGGCATCTGGCTTTCACAGAGCTGATGCCGGACTCCCTTGTTCTCTGAAATGCAATTTTTACTTTCTGCATCATGTTAGATGGGTCCAGGAGATAATTAGCAAGCCCAGCCATACAGAGAGCTTGGAGCATCTGCCAGGTTTTAATTACATTTGGGCTGTTATGGAGATGTGGTACTGCAATTCTGGAGTCAGATCACGCAGCGGGTGTTTGTCCCCACTGCCAAACCAGTGGGTCACAAACAAACTAACAGCAGTTACATCCCCAGCTCCTCTCAGAGGGACCCACATCCAGCAGGTACACACCTGAGCCACCCATGAGCTGGTAAAGCAGAAAGGGTAAGAGACATTTCTTCAAGCAGTGCTGTTTCAGTCCACAGGCAGAGCCCATACAGAAAGCTCATTGTGGGTCATGGACTCAATGCAACAGCAGCTGGAGGGAGCAGGAGACATCCAGCCCAGGCTCTGTCTGGTTTCTGTGCCTGACCAAAGTGCTGAAGGTGAAGCTGGGAGCAGCTTGCCCTGCCTCCATGCCTGGGGTTCCCTGGAGTGCCTGTATGCCTTGTACAAGGAAGGGTTGCAGTCCCCAGCTGTGCAGCCACCCACAGAGACCATTTCAGCTGCCCTGGTGATATTCAGACTGAGTTTGCCACACTGAAAAGAAGGGGCTCCTTTCCTGCAAAATCCTGTCTCGGGTTTGCAGCCAACAGCCTGCACCCCACTGGCTCTGCCCTACTTGGGTTGGCTGCCTAATCAAAGTAGGAAGATAAGCTCTTGCAGATTTACTCTGGGGGTTTTAAAATTGAAAGCTCAAAAGCTGGAGGATAAGATTTCTGCAGCATTTTTTTGCAGCAGGGACTAGCATAACTACTACACAATTTTCAGTCCTTCATATCCTAGAGGGAATTTAGTTTTAGCACCATTTTACAGTTGTATAGATCACTCCCACTTAACGAGCAGAATACATCCTGGAGTGTTGTATAACTCCAGCTTCACTTTCTCATTAAATTGATGTTTAGTGTGTAAAGAGTAATGGATTAAGAAATGCTCCTTTATACAGACATCGACCTTTTAGGCTATCAGTGCCACTTCTGTGGCATTTTGACAGATGAAGAACTTTTAGATGTTATTAATTCTTGTTTTCAGAATTCTTGGGGCCTCTTGCCATGCTGATTTCAATAAAACTGTCACCATCTGCTGCCAGAACAGGGTGGGACCCAGAGGGTGTATTGTTTTTGAGGGCCAGACACACTGGGCTGCAGTTCAGAGCAGAGAGGGAGAAGGGTATCAGGTGAAGACTGCCTTTGTCTGGAGAGCTGGATCACAGTCTGGTACTGTGATTAGGAAGCTCTGGATTACAACTGAACTGTCTTGGCAAGGCCATGTAGGGAACCTTAATGCATCTTCCACTTGCATTATCCCAGAGCTGGCTACTTCAGTGTAACTACTTCCTTTCCTGAGTGCAGAGGATCAAACCTCAGCCCCAGAGCTGGCCACTTCAGTGTAACTACTTCCTTTCCTGAGTGCAGAGGATCAAACCTGCATCCACATAGCAGGCAGGCAGTAGACACAGCTTTATAATTGTGACAAAAAACCACCCCAAATTTTTCACAGTGGCCTGTTCCGGAAGAGCAAAGGCAGTTGTGTGCATGGAGTTAACTCCCAAACCACATGTATATGGCCTTTCCTTTCCACAAATCTCACCACAGCTTTACTTTGCTCATCTGAGTGAATTTCATCACAGCTAATCCAAAGTGGGTGGAGAGCAGAGTATCCCTTCTGGGCTTGTTGCTCCCTTTCTGTTATTGATGTGCATTGGCCAGACATTGCAGCATTAGATGCACTTTTAAAATGCAGCGAAAGCACTTGTGTCTAGAGGACTTCAAGGAAACAGCTCTAAAGGGCTTCACATCTTTTTTTTTTCCTTGAAAACATCACTCAGCACTGAGGCTGACAGTTCTGGCAGATGAGATCCCAGCCTTCACATGGCATGAGGAGAATATTAACTAGAGCTTTGTGTCACCCTTATGCAACAGGGCAAACAGGCACCATCATTCCTGCTCTAGGGAGGGGAAGCCAAGTCAGTTAACTAAAGCCAGATGGTAAACATCATATGGGAGCACAGGAGCTGCCCCACACACTGTTTCCAAGAAACTGCTGCTCACAGAGATGTCAGGTGGACAGACAAGAGCTGGTGGATGAGTTGTGGACAGGCAGGAATTGTGCCCTCATCTGACAGTGCAGAGCAACCCAAACACTACCCCTGAGGAGGGTTCCCAGCAGCATCAAGAGCCCACACATTTGGAAAGGCTGTCAGAGGTGGCAGAAAGGGTCACCCAGCAGCTTGACACTGCCCTGCCAGAGTCAGGAGTAAAAAGGCCAAGGCTGGCAGGCAAGAGAAGCAGGACACTTTGGTGGAGAGACTGTGAGTGAAATAACAGAGGCTGGGTGGAAGGGGGTAGTTAAAAGCAATCAGCAGAGACCTTGTGCCTCTGTGACTCTTACCCAGTTGCAGGTCTGACAAGGACATGGGTCAATACATGATATTTACACCTTCAAGGACAGAGTGACAGCAGAGGCAGGAAGAGAGAGGCACTGAGCTGCATCAACAGCTGCTGATTTCCATGTCCCACCCCAGCTGGGAGTGAGACAGGAGAAAGGTACCTTTGCCTCCTCTCCACAGCTGGTCAAAAGAGCTTGGGCACAAGGATGGGGATGTGACTAAGGGAGTTCTCAAGGAAGTGACCTATTTGTGCACTGCCTCCATCCTCACAGCAGGGCCAGGCCCAGCCTTGGATCAGCTGGGGCTGGGTTAGTCCAGCTTAGTACTTTTGAGGCTTCTCCTTCTTTTTCCATGTTGCATTAGAGGCAGCTAAAGCCAGCCCTGCACAGCAGCACCCTGTGCCACTGGGGAAGCAAAGCAAGCAGATTATGCTAAGTAGGCAATTAAAAAGCTCAGAATCCATCCCCTAAATCACTGCTCAAAGCAGGGAAGCCTTTCAGACATGCCTGAGGTTCTGTGCAAGAAAGAGCAGCTGAGAGATACCTGACTCATGGCTAATTAGCCACTACCGGCAGTGCCTGTTAATGACAGAGGGGATACACATTAATGGGAATTTCTGGCATCAGCAAAGTTTTATATTTGGAGACAAATTTAATGTAAAAATAAAAGACAGAGGGGTAGAAAGCTGGCAATTCTCCAGAGAAATAGGCATGAAGTAGTGAGCACCCCTCATTAGCAAAATTCCTCTCTTACTGTCTCCTCCCAGCCTTTCTCCGTAGCATGGAGACAAGGAAATGAGCTGAGACTCCAGGAACTTCAACATTCTTGGGCTGAACAAGCTCCCCCAAACCCCACCAAGCTAACAAGAGGCCAGACACCGCTGTGACTCCACAAGTTCCAACAGGGCAACACTCAGGAGCCATGACTTCCCTTCTGTGCTGCCACCAAAGAATTTAGCTGATGAGCAAGAAATTGATGGGATTCAGTGCTAATAAAATAGCCAAACATGCTGAGCCTGCAGCTTCATGGACTTGAAGAAGGACCTGGAAGATGGCCTGAGGGTTAATTTTCTTGGGGCAGATCCTGGAGACAAACAACTAGCAATTAATTTCAGATCTCCTAATTGGACCATTTCAAGACAAGCTCTGTATTTGCTTGTGCTAGCTGAGTTCCCAGGAGGCTGGAGCACTGGCTGGGTGTTAGTGGAAAGAGGAAGATTTTTATCCCAAAATAAATCTTTGGGAAGCACAAGATGGTTTCACCTCTTTCCCAGCCCACATTTCTCACTGAGGATTTTATTTCCAGACACCCACAGGTCTGTCAGGCCCCTGCTCTGTCTGGAGTGATCCAGAATGGATCTCCCATAGCCAGGCTCAAAGTGCAGCCTAGGGACTGCTGGTAATGCCTGCTGAAGAGTAGAGCTGGCACCCAGGGAAGGGATAAGTGGCAGTGAGGGCAGGAGGAAGACTGCCTCCTTGTCCTTGGGAGCAAGGCCACACCCCAAGAAGGGAGTTGGGAACAATGCAAAGTAAAACCTTTCACATGAGAAGCAAGGAGATGTACCTCAAAGAGCTCCCATCCCTCAGCAGGGGTGGACAAGGGCTGCAAGCAGGGTGCTGATCCTTTATAAACAGGACTGCTTCACCCCCAGGCAGGCATCCCCAGGGGCTGGGCTGCTGATTGTCCTTGTTTCTTGCTCAAAGTTTCCAAGAATTTCTCACTTGCAAGCCATTTCTCCAGCATTTGAGGGAGTGGGGGGCTGTTTCCTCTCTAGGCTTGCTGCAGATAATACAAACACAGGCTGCTGCCTTGCATCCAGGGTGCAGATCCTTGTTAGATGCAAATCCTCACAATTACAAATGTGCCCTGAGCACCAGTTGCAGAAGCAGTAGGTTGGTCCAGCCCCCAGTGCTCTGCAGCCTCTGTCCACAAGTCCCACGGGCATCAAGAGCCACGTTGCTAAGTAGCTGTTGTATATCACACAAAAGAAAAAAAGCCTTCTGCAGCTGAAGCAATCTTAAAGCCTGTTTCAAGTACAGAAATTAGGGGATAATGCATGACCCATTTCCTTGGAAATAAACCTAGTATTTTCTCAGCTGCTGCACAAGTGACTGAGAGCTTGGTGCTCTGTGTATCATGCCCCTCTCCCCCCAAGAAACAGAGCTTAACAGACCTCCAAAAAATATCAAGTGCCAAATAATTCAGAGTAAAGCATCTACCCACATCTCCTTGACCCATTTCTGACTGCAGACCCATTTTCCTCTAAAGCAATAGAGAGAGTGGGTAGCTATTCCATGCCTTGCCTTAGGGATGGGTTTAGTTGTGCCTCTTGGAGCTGCACAGAAACACCAGGGAGGCGAGGAGGATGCTGCCAGGGTTCACAGCATGCGTGGGGTGTTGCATCTCATGCTTCAGCACTTACCAGAGAGCTGAGGGCCTGGCTGCAGCATAGGGCTGTGTTCACCAGGATGAGGCTCCTACAAACACATCCCTACAAGAGGCATTTTTATAGGCAAGAGAACAGCTTAAACACAGGAGGGAGCCCCCCGTCCTGAGACAGGAGGCCCAGAGTCACCCTGGCAGGTACAGCAATGAGGGCAAAAGGAAGCAGCAAAAAACACAGGAAAGGAAAGAAAAACAAGCCAGCAAAGAAGGGAGGGCGGGCTCTGGCACAGGACAGGACGGTTTAAGCACATTCAGCCAGGAGCAGTCCAGTCTGGAGAATCAATTATGGGAAGATAATTTGTCTGCTTGATTAAAGCCTCCTTGGGGTATTGGCTCGGTGCTGGGGAGAGCAGCAGAAGGTACCTGTTGTGGTGAGAGCACGATCTGTGACTTATTACTGCAGTCTCCACACGGCAGCCACAGGAGGGGAGGGAGGCTCAGCCGGCAGAGACAGACGAGCACATTGCTTTTGCCTTTCAGACATTTCCCTTCAGTCATCACTGTCTGCACTCAGAGCCAAGTCGCTCCAGAGGGGACCCCAAGAGCCTCTCAAACTTGTCCCCTTTTAAGAAAGCTGCTGCTGCAGACAGGAAAAACAGCACCTGGTGCTGAGGCAGCGGAGCGCAGCCGGCTCAGACGTGCCCTCCAGTGGTCCCCACTCCAGCCTGGCTCCCATCCCCACTCCAAACCAGCCTCGTGCCCTGGAGCTTTGTAAAAGGGAAGGTCTGAGGAGGCTTTGCACAGACAGAGACAAGGTTTAGGGCTGGGGAATGTGCCCCTATGCTTGTGTCCCTTTCTGTGTCCCCCACCCACCCAGGATCTGCCTGGGGAGGAGAATTTCCAGGAGTCACAGGCTGTGTTCATGCAGAACAGGCACTGAAGTACTTACAGGCTTGTTTCTATGCTTGTTTATCCTGTATTCCCCACACTCCCAAGAAAGGCTTATTCTAAACCCCTACAGGCCAGAGAAGGCTGCTGTATCCCTTGTACCAGCCCCTGGTGGATCCAGGGGACAGTTACCCTGTGCACTCACGTTCACACTCCATTTCATTTCTCCTGTTTCACTTGATCCACATGAATGCACACCTGCACTGTGCATTGGATGCTCTGTTCTGCTCGAACAAGGACTCCAGATCAAACCCCCAGATAAAATACTTAGCATGACTAAAAGGATAACTGGTGTTGTGCTAGGGGAAACCTGAGATGTTTCCAGCTTCGAGGATGGTCCCTGATAAATTTCATCCAAGATGAACCCTCTTTTGTGGTAGACTGTGCTACACCACTGCCAGTGATTGGTGACAAACTATACCAAAACACACACATAGTTTTTCAAGACAGTTGAAGAAATAGAGCTCCCAGAAGCCTGGGCTGATGTCAAGCATGACTTGGATCAGCAGGAAAAGGGAGACTTGCTCAGTGCCACCCAGACCACAGCATGCACAGTTCACACCTGCTGCTGCAGCACGTAAGAGAACTGCACTGCTGCTACAATGTGGAATCCTATGTGGTGGATTAAGTCTTCACAGTCCCATCTCTGGGGCCCAGATAGTGGAGGGATATCAAGTACCATCTTCAAGGCCCTTTGGAGATCTCCCTTGTGTGCTCAGACTAATTATAATTCCCCAGCACATCAGTCCCTGCTGTTTGACAGGACAGAAAAGCACTGCTCCCCTTGCCCCTCCTGTGATCCACTGAGGCGTGGTGTGGGTCATCTGATGTGTAAATATTTTGTAATACATTTTACTTACAATACTTCAGGTCTGAATAGAAGTTAATTCATGCTGTTATTAGCTCTCTGCAGTGACAGCTCATTAGTCCAAATGCATGCTTGCAGATATGGTTTCAGCCTTGCACAGTGAATTCCCATGGGAAATACAAGGACACATGGAAGTAGCCTGAGCAAAGTGCTGCTAAACCCAGGGCAGGAATTTGTGGGCTTAAGAACTGACAGGGCAGGACACGAGGTCTTTCTGCCTCATGCTCCTACAAGGAAGTGCAGCTGCAGGTTTGTGCCAGTGTCGAACATGTCCACAGAGGGCTGTGGCCTGCACTGGTGCACATTTACTGACTTATGTCAACACATGCTTATAGGGGATTATTAAGGGCTGAAATTTCTAGGATGCCACGAAGTGCATATGTAAAGCAAAGCTGCAGAGGCAGTGCCACATGCTCTGCAGAGCTCCAGCAGGGCCTGGCAATGCTGAGGCTTGTGGGGACATTCTCACCTGCCACGGGAGCTCCTGCGGTGCTGTAGCCTCCTCCAAGGAAATTGCATGTCCCCATGTACCCATTGCTTTCAGGGACTGGCTGTGCCACAGGTGTGCAGGACACTACAGAGAGCCAGATAGGAAGAGTGGGGACCTTCAAAGTGGTGGTTAATGCTTAACCCACCCTGATCCTCCCAAACTCAATATGGCACTTACAAGACCCCCTGAGCACATGACTGGGTGGGGGGTCCTACCAGGGCTCCCATGTCCTTAAGGCAAGATGTGTCTGAAAGAGCAGCAAGATTAACACAATTTACAGTAAGGGTTCTCCTGTGTTACACCAACACACGTTTGTACTCAATTTTGCAACGCATCCCCCAGCAGCTCCTGTAGCCCCACAGTTCTCACTTCTCACAGCACTCTCACAAACCCACAGTCCATCATTAAGCTGCACACCCCACTCTCTTTGCATCCCCAGCAGCCTCACAACACAGCTTTCCTACCTCCTCCTCACTCCCTTGGCCAGGCAGACAATAAAAGAAATGGCTGAAGCCCTCTCTTAGCACCCTTATGCCCTCCCTGCCTCCTCGTAGCTGCAGCAGATCCCAGATGATCTGCTGACCACAGAGACCCAAATAGGCAGCCACTGGTGCTGCTTACTGACTAAGTGCTGCTTGTGAAGGCTTTTAAAGGGACACGCAGTAAATCCATTCCTGGAGTGCAGTTTGCCTATCTCTTGTTTTCCTGATGAAGCATCCATTTCTCAGACATTTAACACGGCTCTCCTCTGTAGCACAGACCTTGGCATTCACCTGGAGAGGCGGCTCACAAACAGCCCCCACACAGAGTAAACCAGTGCTTTTGGAAAGTTTGCTTGCCTTGGTTATTTTTGCTTTCTATGCATGAGTGCCTGTATGGGCACATACAGACAAACCCTTTGACATCTGCTAGTGGGAGACACTTTAGCAACCTGTGTTGAGCCAGTCCTGGCAAAGTTTATGTGTAAGTGCTAAAAATACACAGCAAAGCCCCAGAACAGTCTGCCCTGAGGTATGGTGCAAATGCTTGAAACAAGCATTTGTGAGCTCTGTTAACCCTTTCCTTAACATTCTAGCCCATGTTGTTAATGAGTCCTCCCTGTCCCAAATGCTCTCTCACTTGGGTGAGATGGATGGGAGTGCTCCCCTTAATGACGCCTAAACCTTCATGACCTCTCTCCATGTCTCCCCTTCTCCACCATCAGCCTGAAGACCAGCCTGCAGAAGAAGGTGAGCCAGGACTCCATGGATTTGTCAGGGATCCCCCTGACCATGCGGGATGTCCACCGCATGGCCTACTACCTGCAGAACAACGGGGACCGCCTGACCTCGGTGGACCTGAGCTTCACGGAGCTCAACGACGACATGGTGCGCCTGCTGCTGCCCTTCCTCTGGGCGCTCCCCAAGCTCACCCACCTGTCCCTCAACGGCAACCGCCTGACGCGGGCCACCATGAAGGAGCTGACTGACACCATGAAGGACATGAACAAGTTCCCTTGCCTGGCCTGGGTTGACCTCGGCAACAACGTGGACGTCTCCTCCATGCCGCAGCCGCTGCTCGTGGGCCTGCGCAAGCGCCTCAGCCAGCAGACCACACTGCCGACCATCTATGAGGCGCTTGACTGCGACTCTGAGATCGCCGGCGGGCACGAGGGCAGCCAGCCAGAGGATGAAGCAGCCGGAAGCACCCCGCCACGTGCTTTTTCTCAGCAGGGCTGCGAGAGGTGACTGAACAACCGGCCAGAGCTGGCACGCTGAAGCAACCCCAAGGAGAAGTTTTGAGCACAAACATCAAGCAGAGGGCCAGCTTGACCGGCTTCCCTTGGCTCTTTTCTCTCGCCTTCCCTGACATCTTCCCCCCCCACCTGCTGTGAGACAAAAGCCTGTCGTCCCCCCACAACGTGTTCCGCTCCCTCCCCTCGCTGCCAAACCCATTGCCCATGTTCCAGAGAGGAACCAGTGACTTACAGTGAACCTGGTCCCCAGGCAGGGTCTCACTGGAAGACGGGAAAAGACCTGTCGGAGTCAAGAATATCCTCCAGCAGCCATTGGGTTGAGGGAAAGGGGTTGGGGGGAACCTAAAACAGAAACAGGCTTGTAGTTTACTTCCTTTCTTCCTTTTCCTATGCACCTTGGAAACCTTGGGACCTGCAGCCTTGAGTGTGAAAGGAGGTACCCCAAGAGCCTAGTGCTGTGGAGCTTAGTGGAAGGGCTCAGAGGCCAGAGCTGGAGCCCGGCAGTGTGTCTCCCTCTTGTGTCTGGCTCCTTTTGTTTTGTTTTTTTCCTATTGTGTGTTTTGTATGAACGTCTGAACAAAGGGACCTGGTCAGAGACCATTGGATCACATAGGCTGGGGCGGACACATGGCTTGGAACTGCAGCATCAGGACATTTGCTGTGTGACCGGGGTGAGAGGGAGGGGAAGGAGGCATGTGTTGGTGGGAGCATGGGGGATGGGATGAGTTGGGATGGGATTGGGAGGAGGGGGGAGGAGAGGGAATGGGAACGGTCTTGTGGATTAGTAGGATTGGTTTCAAAAACTGTGCTTTTGTACAAAAATTACAAGTTCCGAGGTACTACAATTGCAAGTTCGAAGTGATATTGAGGAAAAGCTGACAGCTGAGCACCTCACTGTGGCACTAGAGGAGCAAGCAGTGAATGTGCCAGAGGTGGGTGCTTCCCAACTGGAAGCGCAAAGCTTTGGCTCCTCATGGCACACTGCACACCTCCTAATGCAGCCACGACGTGAGCAGCTGCATCACCATTTCCAATGCTGTCCAGAAACCAAGCCACTGATGCAGAATTTCCAGTGTTTTCCACATTGCTCATGCTCTATGTAAACATAATAAAGAGTTCTCTTGGACATGAGCGTGAAGCACTTCAGAGTCTGAGTATCTGGGTTGTTCAGAGGTGGTGGAATATGGACCAGAGCCCCCATGCAGTGCCTGAGGGGCAGGATCAGGTACCATTCACATTGGGCAGTGTAGTTCATTCCTTTAGGGAAAGAGAAACATGGGTGTTCATCTGTGGTAGGCTGCCATCCTTCGTTTTGCAAGGGGCTGGTAGAAGTAAACTGATGAGATTTAGCTGATAAGTCAAGTCCTCTCAATTACTTGTCCCCACAGGAATTCATACTTGGATGAGTTTTTGAAAGAGTTAAAAGTTTAAAAAATGAGACATATTAAAAAAAACTCCATAAAAATCCTCACCCATCTAAATTAACAATGGTAACTTTGCCTTCCTCTGCTGATTGTCTCTGTGAGTCTCGGAGCAGCACATATAAGCAACGCTCCTGTATGAAAACAACCCAAATTCACATGGAATAGATACACCTTTCATGCTCTTTACTAATTTTACAAGACATTGCAAGAAGTAAATTGTTGATATTTTTCAAGTGATCTATTCCCTTTGGACCAAGAGCGTGGAGGACACATTGGTGTCTCTGATCAACCACCAAAAGCACCAAATAAAACCAGTTCCCTGAGGAAGAAAGGTGGGATTAGACACTGTGCTGAGCATTACAATCTGACACTGCAAATGCTGGACCAGTCCTGTCTGCACTCCAGTCACACGTGCAGGACCTCATAACCTTCATGTTAACCTGCACAAAGGTCACCACCTGCTCTCTTCTCACAACTCATTTTTCCCTTCTCAGTGTCGTATCTTAAAGAATCATAAAATTGTTTCACTTGAAAAAGACCTTTGAGTTCGTTGAGTCCAAATATTGACCCAGCACTGCCAAGCCCACCACTAAACCATGTCCTGAGTGCCACAGCTGCATGTCTTGTACACAATTCCAGGAATGGTGACTCAACCACTGCCCTGTGTATCCTGTTCAATGCTTGACAACCCAGTCCTGCTGGCCACACTATGCCATATACAAGCCAGGATGCCACTGGCCCTTTTCCATTCAGCAGCTCTCCAGCTGCTCTTCCCCAAGCCTGGAGTCATGTTTGGGATTGTTGTGACCCAGGTGCAGAACTTGGCACTTGTTGGAGCTCAAACGATTGTCCTTGGACCATCAAACCCAGCCTGTCCAAACCCTTCTCAGAACCTTCCTACCCTCCAGCAGATCAACATTTCCATCCAACTCGGTGTCATCTGTGAATTCAGCTGAGGATGCCCTTGGTCCCCTCATCTGGATAATCAATAAAGACATTAAACAGAACTGCCCCACTACTGAGCCCTGGGGAACCCCACCAGTGACAGCCCCAGCTGGCTGCAACTCCATTTACCACCTCTCTCCAGGCTCAGCCCTTCCTTTCCTTCCCTGCTATGCAAGATATGATATTAATTTTTTCTTTTCCTTCCAAAATACCTTTAAGAAAAAATGAAAAGTATTTCAAATGTCAGCAAGATCTGCTTAAACTCTTACTGTCTAAGCAGAGCAGCACCCAGCTCTGTGCCAAGAAGAAAACTCGGGCACAACGCATTTAAATGAAGGCTTGGAGCTGCCTGGTGAGCCAGTGCATCTCTACAGAGAGGGAGCAGTGCTGCTGAAGGTTTGGTCTTTGGCTCTGAGCACTGTCCCCCTAGGGCTCTGCATCAAGGAATCTTCACAGCTTTTCCATGACAGCAGCAGCCCCCTGAAATGAGGTGAGACCCTCAGTGTGTAGTGCACCCCTGACACAGCTGCTCCCTGCAGAGCCCCTGGCTCAGCCCCAGCCTGCTTCAGCCCTGCTCAAAGCTGTGCTTTCAGTCTGAGCTCTGCTACCCAGCAGGGCAGGGATGAGACATTCAGCCCCTTGCAGGGGAATTCTGTGCCAATCTCTGGCGATGCCACCTGCCAGTTGGCAGCTCCAGGATCTGGAGATAAAGCAGGAAACACACTGGTTCAGCTGAGCAGCTGTGGCATGCATGTTTATTCCTCTATATGCACTTGGTTGCTTTGCCACAGAAAGCTCCCCATGGAGAACTGGTTGTGAATAAATATGTGAAAATGCCAATTATGAAGTCCTGCCACTGCTTCTTGGATGAACTTTGATGGGCTGTAACTCAGCAGAAACAATCCCAGCACACCCAGCTCCTGATCCCATGGACAGGAGAGGGGCTCTGGGCAGCACAGTGCATCCAGCTCATCCCAAAGCTGGGAAGTGCTCCTGGGCCCCCTACAGATGAGGTGCATGCTCAAGGAGCGGATCTAGAGGCCCCAAATCTGCAATTTTCATAAAAGCTGAGTTCACCAACCAGAGAGGATGACACAACTGAAATGAGCCTTTCCTTGCACTGAATGAGAAGGCTCAGGGCTTCCAAAGGGTATTAAAGGGATGAGTTGCTAATTTGGGTCTCTTCAGATGGCCAGAGGGACCAGCTTAGTTATGAGGCTAAATCAGAGGACACCTGCCCTGCAGTGAGCCTCTCTCCTGTCAGGTAACACAGCAGGACTGAATATTCTCCTCAGGAGGCATTTAGAAGAAGGAGGTATTATACCTCAGGTATTTAGAGCAGCACACAGTATCAAGACTCAGACACCAGCCTCTCTCCCCACCATTTTCAGTTTGCCAGCCTCCCTGTCAGTGCAGGCTGCAGATTGTCAGCCTGGGATGGGACCTGTGTCACGTAGCAGGAAGGGAGCTGAAGCTGCAGCTGCACAGATGGAACCACAGCCCCTTCCCCACCCCCAGCAGGTGATCAGCTCACCACAGCTCATGAGACATTTCAGCAGTGTGCTGGAAGGAGAGGTCACCAGGTGTGAAGATTGAAGATGCTGGTGAGCACTGTCAGCAGGGGCTCCAGGGGGCTCAGGCAGCAGCAGAGAGCTCCAGCAGCACCAGCCTGCAAAGCCACATGTGGAGATAACGAGCAGCACCACAGCTAAATGAGGCCATTGGTGCCTGGGAAGGAAGAAGGAACAGTTCAGCTCCAGCAGCACCAGCCTGCAAAGCCCAGCCACATGTGGAGATAACACCACAGCTAAATGAGGCCATTGGTGCCTGGGAAGGAAGAAGGAACAGTTACTCCAACAGAAAAGCACTTGTTCTCTCCCTGCCTAGGAGGACAACACCTTCCTTGCAACTCCACCCTGTAATTTACCTCAGCTTCTGATCACAAAATCCAGGTAAGCATCTTGGCATGCTCCAGGTAGCAAAATGCTGAGCACTGAGTTCAGCAAAAGCCTCCCTCACTTCAGTGACTCTGCCTAAATAAGTGGTAATTATTTTGTTGAGGTAAGGATGCAAAAAGCAGCTGGAAGCACAAGCTTGTCTAATCTATTTTTTATTTCACACACTTCAAAACCTGTCAAGGTCCTTTTCTTTTGCACTGCCAAGGCTCTTTTCTCAACTTATAATTCATTTCTCATCACAAGCACTAGGAAGATAAAGGAGTTTGCACTGTTTGGGGCAGGCTGACGAGCTCCTTAGTGGACAGCTGCTGACAAAGATGTCAAAAATATAAATTGTTTCATCTTAAGAAAACAAACAAGAGAAGATTAAACATTGCCTTCAGAGATTGCTCTACTCCCTACCAGAGGACGTGACTCAAAGCTTGGAAGAGGCAAATTGCCTCAATACACACTCATACATGCAGTCTCTGCATGAAAAAGCCTCCAAGGGCAGCTGGCAGGAAGCCCAGCCACCCCAGCTGGGGACATTATCCATAGATAAGAGAACCTGTTTTACAGTTTACTGGCCTTAAGCAGGTGCTCTCAGAAGAGATGCAGTAGCTGGTTTAAAGCTGCCAAGGGGCACTTCACAAAACAAAACAGGCTGGAACACTGCTAGCTGAGGCCAGAAGACCACGACTTAGTGATCCACTCTGAGACACCAAGTACTTGACTGTTCCCTCTGCTGTTCCTCTCAGATCTGACAGGATCCCAGTTCAGTGATGCTCAGCTGAGGCCAGTGCTCCAGAAGGCCACGACTTCTTGATCCACTTTGAGACACCAAGTACTTGACTGTGCCCTCTGCTGTTCCTCTCAGATCTGACAGGACCCCAGTTCAGTGATGCTGATTCAAAACCAGAGCAGCCACTAAACACAATAACCACACAGGAACTCTTCTTCAGCAGTAGAGATCAGAGGAAAGTCAGCTTTTATTCCATTTACTCCTTTTCCCAAAGCCTGGCACTCCCCCTGCTGCATCCAAGGGGCCTCAAAAGCAAGTGAGCCACAATGGCCCTGACATTTCCTTCCACAGCAGCATCAGGTTCATTCTGCTTGCATGCAGGGTGTGTCACAAAGGTGGAAGAGAGGCACTTTCCTGCTTTCTGACCAGCCAGTTCCTCAGCTTCTGGGAGGGTTATTCCTCCCAGCCCATTTTTGTGTCAATCTGCCCCACACTGGACACAATGATGGGAAGCATTTGCAAGGCTATCAAAAACAACCTGGGCCTTATTCAACCTGTGTAATTCCCCTGAAATACATGGTGTCTCAACAATAAAAACATGGCACAAAGTATGGGAAAAAGGCCCTTTCCCAGACTAGCAGAGGCAGCTGCCTTTGGGTTTCAATGTCAGACTTCTGAGCAGAGCTTTGTTCTTGATCCCCTGAAATCTTTTGGTTTGCAGAGCCAACAGTTTGATGTGTGCACCTTTGTCTGAACTCTGCTGCAACTGAAAAACTGAGCAAGTCCCAACCCATCCATCCTTTTACCAACTGCTCTTTGGGGTTTTAGTTTTTCAGAAACTGCAATGGAAAGAGAGCCAAGTGGAGGCCAAAGGAACAGGTTTGATGTGTAACCAGATATTCAGAGACAACAGCCCAGAGTCTCTCTAGGTCCCCTTGCCTGGGTCTCAGCCCTGGGCTGGCCCATCCCTCAGCTCCAGTATGAATCCCAGTGTTTTACAGTGTCACTGGCAGCCCCCAAAGCTCCTGCTACCGCCAGGCCAGGTGCTCTGGAGCTGGGTGAACGCTTGGACAGCAGGATGCACCCCCAGAGC